CAGGGGTTGAGGGACCCATGGCCACCCCACATCTGCCCAGGGGTTGAGGGACCCAGGGTCACTTAAGATGTTCTCCTGGGGACACCAGGGGTTGAGGGACCCATGGCCACCCCACATCTGCCCAGGGGTTGAGGGAACCATGACCACCCCATGTCCATATGGGGATCCCAGGGGTTTGGGGGACCCATGGCCACCCAAGATGTCCTCCTGCAGACCCAGAGGTTGGCTGCCCGTGGGATTGGGGACCCCTGGCCACCCCCCACCCTCGGGGGGACCCAGGTGTCTGGGCTCACCAGGATGAGGACCTTGCCGAGGCAGACGAAGGGGGTGCTGAGCTCAGCCATCAGGAGACACCCCAAGAAGAAGTCGCCCTTTCCCTGGCGCCACAGCTGGGGGGACACAGGAGGACACGGGGACATCGGGGGGGCACAAGGGGATGGGGTCACATGAGGACACACAGGTCACACAAGGACACGGGTGATTGGAGGATGAGGGAATGAGGGGTGCCTAACCTGGGCTGTCCCCATGTCGCTGTCCCCAAGGTGTTCCCATGTCCCTGAGGTGTCCCTGAGGTGTCCCCATGTCCCCATTCCCGCCCCCCATGGTCATGGGGAAGCCAACAAGCACCAAGGTGGTGTGGTGGACCTCCATGAGCGCATCCATGCCAAGCTGATGTTCCTCCATCCCATATCCCCAAGTGTCCCCAACCCATCCTATCATCCCCAGGTGTCCCCATGTCCCTATCCCCATGGCCATCGGAGAAGTCAGCATGGACTGTGGTGGTGTGGTGGCCCTCCATAACCATGTCCATCCCAAGACCATGTTCCTCCATCCCACATCTCTGAGCCAACTCCATGTCCCCACCACATCCCTGTGGTGTCCGCAACCATCCCATGTCCCTGTCCCCACTCTCCATGGCCACAGGAAAGCCAGTGAACACCATGGTGGTGTGATGGACCTCCATGAGCACATCCATCCCAAGACCATGTTCCTCCATCCCACATCCCTGAGCTAACTCCATGTCCCCAACACTTTCCTTTGTCCCCGAGCTGTCCCCAGCCCCCCCCCCCCCCCCCCCCTAGCCACCGTGCTATTGCCCAGGGCCACTCTCAGATGCCATCCCTGTGGCCACAGGGAAGCAGACAAGCACCATGGGCAGCATGGTGGACCTCCATAACCATGTCCATCCCAAGCTGATGTCCCTCTATCCCACGTCCCTGAGCCAATCCCCTGTCCACAACCCATCCCCATGGCATCCCCAGCCATCCCATGTCCCCATCTCCACTCCCCATGGCTATAGGGAAGGCAATGAACACCATGCTGGTGTGGTGGACCTCCATGAGCATGTCCATCCCAAGCTGATGTTCCTCTATCCCAGATCCCCAGGTGTCCCCAACCCATCCCATTGTCCCCAAGTATCCCCGTGTCCCCATCACCATCCCCACAACCATGGGGAAGTCAACAAGCACCATGGGGCTATGGTGGACCTCCATGAGCACGTTCATCCCAAGGTGATGTTCCTCCATCCCACATCCCTGAGCCAACCCCATGTGCCCAGCCCTTTCCCTTGTCTCCGAGGTGTCCTCAACCCCACCACGTCCCCGTCCCCACTCACAGCGGCCACGGGGAAGCAGACGAGCACCATGGCGGCATGGTGGAGCACCATCAGGAGGTCCTTGCGCAGGTAGGTGCCAGCGGCCGCCCTCAGGGACGGGGGAGGTGCCACTTCGTGTCCCTTCACCCGTCCCCGGTGCCAGTGACAGAGGAACATGGCGTAGACATCATAGATGAAGTAGGGGACTGCGAACTCGGGGTACGCCCCCGCCAGCCAGTGCCTGGGAGGGGGGTGTGACATCAGAGGACCCAGGCGTCCGGGGGACCTTGGGGGGACCCAATCTAAGGGACCCAGGCATCTGGGGAGTCACGGGGGACCCCAATTCCCAATACCCAGGAGTTCAAGGACCCCCAACCAGGGGGTACCCAGGACCCAGGAGCAAGGACCCCCAACCAGGGGGTAACCAGGTGTCCGGGGACCGCAGGGACACA